TTTAACCAATTAATATTGATTGAAAGAAACCAACTATTAGTCTGTTTATAAGAGAGTGGGGATGGAAAGGGGGCAAAATTGCATGAGAGAAAAAGAGTGGGAGAAGGGGATATAAATTGAGAGGAAGAGAAATGAAGAGAGCAAGTAGGAGAGAAAGAGAGAGAATGGGAGGCCAATTGAGCAAAGGGTAGAGTTGTGTTTGGAGTCGAGTGCGATGATGTTGAGCATGAGTCATAGGACATTTTTCCTTGTGGTTAGGGCTTGGAATCAAAGTGATGAAATTTTTCTTTCTCCTCCTAGGTCTTCAGTTAAGGTAAATCTAAACCTATTATAGCTTTCAGCTTCCCTTTTCTCATTTATGAAAAAAGTGAATTTTGTTGACCTCTAACCACCTTACGATTTTAATAACCGTTCCCACTACCCACGTTTGCTCTCACATAACTCTCTCGTTTCCTTTATATCGCACAAAAACCGCTCATACCCATATCCATTTGAGCAACTCACGCACAGAACTTCCACACTCTCTCTCTCTCTCTCTCTCTCTCTCTCTCTCTCTCTCTCTCTCTCGATCCCTCTATGTGTTGCTCACAGGAGCCAAAGTCCCCTAGACCATCCACTTGCTCTCTTACCCACATGTGAACCAGGCACGAAGCCCTCTCGATCTGCCTGCGGGAATTGGACTTCAGGAGGCTGCCGAATTTTTTAAAAGAGCGGTTATTTAATTTAAAATTAAATTAAATTAATTCAAAATAACAAGTGCCGCTAATTACAAGACCTATGCCATTATATCTTAAGATCAAACCCTAGGTTGTGTTATTATTCAAGGTAAAATTGAATGATTAGCTTGCTTGTTTTCCAAATATTACAAGTTACATTCGTTCCCACTCAATGCTCGTGTTATGACAAAATTATCATAGGCTGCAGGTCTCTTTCTCTAGGATTCTCACATCCATAAAATAGTTGGAAGATTGTTCAATATACTTATTTAATTGGTGGACTATTGAGATAGATGTGGGTCTTCAAAGTCCCACAAACCAAATCCCTGTATGTTTCTAAATTATTTAAATATAGTTTGCATCTTTCAATTTAAATGACTAATTGCGATAGAGAGTGATCCTCTAGAATGTAGACTACCCAATTTTTGTATCATGACAAGATGGATGTAAGTTGTAGAAGTTTGCACATATTCGAATTTGGATGTCTTTACAAGTTTTGAAAAAATGCAAATGAGTGAATTTAATTGGTTTAAAGAAATTCTAAATCATTATAAAATTTCGAATATGCCCCCAAAGGTTTATGTCCAAGATTTCACATTGTGGGCTCCGAAAATTTGGCCCTAGCCTCCGACCGCTGTGCTTTTTTTTGGGGGGGGGGAGTTTTAACGGAATTTAAGTTCTGGGATAAATTTTGGAATGCAGATGATGTTGTAGATAAGACACTACTCAATGATTTCTCCCTCATTTTGCGAGAACTTTATGATCTGAGTTCTGATTTCCTATAGGCGCAAGCCCCTATAGTTAATTACCCCTCCCATTAATGAGAGAGAACTTTCGATTAAGGCTAATCGTCAATCAGATATGTAGAGATACGGGAATTTCACCATCTTGCACTTAAAGCGGATGGTGGGGGAATGGATGATGGACCCGATCAAGATCTCATGGTTCCGTCGTCCTGGGCCATCGTGGTCCCTGGTCTACTTAGTCATAGGAGATAGTCGACCCAACATGACAGAAGGATCCTTGTCAACACCATGGGTGGTTTCGTCCTAAGGTACCTTGTAGACCTGGGAGGAATGCTTGTCTAAGGGGACAAATTTGAATCCACCTTAGCTAACAGAGGGCTTTGTGCCCTATCGATTATATCATATGGATTCATATCTCAAGGATTTGATGCCACTAAGCAATGTATTGGCTCTGGCCATAAACGCTATCTCGTGATGCCATTTGGCAACAAAATCATTCGGTTCAGAGGGAACCAGGTCATAACTGATTATCCTTGATGTAGGCAGGGGGGGTCAAACCTAATCCAAAAATTTGGGTTTTGACTTCCCTTGAGCTTGCTAGCTCATTAATTTTTGAGCTGAAATTTAGCTCATTATGAGCCGATTTTTAGTTCATTTATTGAACTAAGACTTAGCTCATTATGAGCTATGTTTTTAGTTCATTTATTAATCTATTTAAGTAGCTCTTTATTAGTAGTTTTGTCTCTTCTCCTTCCCTTTTGTTCTTAAAAATCTGAGCTTGTCTCATGGATTTTTGTGGTTGGCTCTTCGGTTTCCTGTGCTGGGGGCTGTTCCCGTGCCTTTGCTCCCTTGGTTCCGTGGCCGGCTGCTGGTTTCCTGTGCTGGGAAGAATTCTCGTGCCTTCCCCCTGGGTTCCTGCGGCTGGGCTCCTCGGTTCCCTGCTTGGTCCCTGCCTGGGCTGCTTTCCCATGACTATTGGGGGGCTTTTCCCATGGCTTTTGGTGCTCTGTTTCCTGTGTAGTTTGGGGACTGCTGTGTGGTGGCTGTTAGCCTTTCATTTCCCTCATTTATTTAAGAATTTGAAGAGTTTTTGGGGCTGTTTAGTTCCCCCTCTCTTGTCTACAAATATAAGATGTTTTGTGGCTGTTTTAGAAGGTTATGTGAATTATTTTTGGAGCCTAAACCTGCGGGTTTCGTCGTGGAAAAGCTTGCGAGCTTGTTCCATTTTCTTTCTCCTCTAGGAAAGCTTGCGAGCTTCTCCTTCATCTTGGCTTCTAACCTCTTTCGTCTCTCCGCAAGTTTCATTCCATTTGTATCCTTCTTCTCAAGGCAACGATTGACAAGCTTCTTTAGGTGTCTTGTTTGAGACTTTTGTAAGCGTCTTCTAAGAGTCTTTATGATATAAAAGGTGTCTTTTAGTATTGTGTTTCTTTATGTTGTAAGTGTTCTTTTTATATGAAATGTAAGAGTTTGTTCTAAAGTTTCTAAGTTGTCTCTCCTTTTGAGTATAATTGTGTCTTTCTTTTATCTAGAAAGTCTTATTTTCGTGATAAAAAATTTGGGGCCCTCTCCCAAATTTTTGCTTGCATCAATCATGCGGTGTCATTTGTCGGCAAAATCGCCGGTTAGAGGACACGTACCACGTCCTTATTAGCAGGAGATTATTTGAGAATGAATCCTAGTGATATTTTCAACTAGGCATTAACTCTATATAAGAAGAAGTAAATTTGATTTGTTCATCCTGATAAACTGTTGCGGATGATGGATGAATTTTTCTTTAAATAGTTTGATGGATTACTTCAATTTTAAATATTTGGATTTGGAATTTTCTGGGAGTTTTTGATTGCATGAGTACTTTGAAATTTAGGAAGCATTTTGAATTGTTAGAATTAACCCCTCCAGCTGAGATCTGCAGTCAACACAGCCATCATCGGGGTGTTTTGGGGTCATTTCTATTGATTAAACTTTGTCGACCTTATCAACTTGCCGATAGGGGATTGGGTTTTGTAGGCTTTATACATTTGTTAATGAATTTTCTTTATTGAAGACCTTGAAGGACTTATATGAAAGTATAAAAAAGATATTTTAGTCGACACCTTGACTGTATATTTGTCTCATAATATGAGCCGTGTCGACTTTTAACAATCCATATAGAAGGATCGGGCTTGTACTACGTTCATTTATTGATCCGTGCAGCATTCCTAGACGTCAAGTATGTACCAATAACACGCTCGCTGGGAACCATGTGGGTGTTTGGGGGCATTTTATAATTATTTATTAAACTTTGTTGACTCCATTTTTTCTTAGGACGATTGGGTTCAAATTTATTGACCCGCGCAACATCCCTAGATATCACGTGTGTTCCCACAACACGCTCGTCGGGTCTCATGCGGGTCTGAGGAGGGATTCGACTTTTGTGTGCAGGAAGGGAGGTATTGAATGGGGAAGAAGAGCCGAAGGCTCACTCTCTTCTTCCTTTTATTGACCAAGTGCAGCGGCGTCGAGGCAGCTAAATCACAAGAGTTACGCAGGATTTGCGGGATTCCTTCGACGGTCCAAGGATTTTAGCGGGATTTCAGGGATTCGACAGAGCTATGGTACGATAAAATTTTTTTTCTTCTTTTGGTTCTTTACACAGAGGTCAACACACACTCACTACAATCATGGATTATATCAACCTGCTACCCAAGCATTCACAAATTCTCCGTTTTCTTCAGCCCAAGCATGCCACAATCAATACCAAATGCACTGACATGCATTTTAACCTCCCTTTGTTGCACAAATCTCGAGTCACTTTCTCCAAAACCACCTCTCTTTCATAGGACCGTCAAAATTAAATTAAATTTACACAGTGATAGGCACCTTCATGATGGTCAAACTAAGCGCCTATCTACTTAGATTACTTAGAGAGGTACACAAACCAGTTCCATCACTATGGCCTCTATGAACCCCAACTACTCTCTAACTCGTTAGAGAATAGTTTTTGCAGAGTTGATATAAGACATAATGGTCTAACATGCCATATCTACTTTATTTTGGACTTGCCTGCCTAACATAATAGGATTATTTGTGTAATAAAAATGTCAATTATGAAAGATCCTTCTTTAAAATATCTGCCAATTATGATAGATCCTTAGTTTAATATTTTGATTGAGATTAGATTACTTCCCATAAGTTGATACCTTCTGTTATTTTACCGCATGTCAAATCCTCTTATTAATAAAGCAATTTTGTAACAATTCTACTCTCATGAACATTGAAGTAAATTTGATTTTTTCTTCCTCTCTTGTGATTCAATTCTCTGATCTTTTTGTATGCCCTAATCCACCTCACTTATTTCCATTGTCTTAATAATCAATTAGTATTTCAAATAGAAGAGAAACAGAAATACAGTTGGACTTGTACTTTTCATAAGTGAAGTAAATCTTAAAAATCCTATAGGCAATTTTTTAATGCACAAAATAACCACTACATAAGGTAGTGCTAATAGCAGCAGAAAAACTTCAGTAGATATATTTAAATAGTTGATGACACCCACCACTGCAGTGCACCGAGGAAACAACCAGTCATGAGGACAATCATCTATGAAGAAAACATCCGTAGGAAACTGAGAAACTGCATAAACAAGTACTGACAAATCAGAATAAAGCTACTTTGGAGGGAAGTCAATATTAGCAAGAAGAGCTGCTCAAAAATACCATCACAATAACAAAAAGATTATCAACGAATGGATAATGAAATATATAGTTAGAATATTTCACAATAACTATTCATTAAAGCAGAAATGTTTAAATTATGGCAAAAATAAGCTTGCATTCCCGAAATATTAAATATGCATGATTGCAAGTCAATCAACGGCTACAGATCTTGATTTATAAGCAACAATATCAAACACCAATAAAGCTAATTTTAAGATAAGCAATCAAATAAAATGCCAATTAAGACAGTTCGATAATGCTATGCCGCTGCAGAAGCAAGAACAACGTCAATAAGGTATGCTAATTATAGTATGAAAGAAAAGCATAATTACTGTCATACGAGGTTCTTTATTGCCATATTTATATTAAGACCCTAAAAAACTCACAAATGCATGAGATACTTGGAAAGTAAAATGAAGACAGCAGAAGAATTTAGGGCACAACAAATACTGCGATTTATGTTGGTTTCAACATAAGGAAAAAATCCACTATTCACCTTGATGTTATTGAAAATAAAATTACAAAAACAGAACGCAGGAAACCTTACTGCTTCCAAGATCACTCCAACCACGGGAAATAATTCCTCTCTGTCCAGTCTCACGTAGCGCCTCCAATATGATGCACGTTATCTTCTTTGTATCTTCAATTGGCTTAACAAAATGAAAACAAATTTTGGATAACAGAATGCTATGAAGTATGTACACGAAACATAATTATTATTAAGTGTTACGCCCTGCCCTTCAAGCTTTATCTCCGATCTTGCTGTCGCAGTATTATTAGAACTAAGAAAACATAATCATGCATGGTGTATCAGTCATGACATACATGCATACACGAATATAACTTTGTAAACTAGATTTTTTCTTTTATGCAACATAATTTTATAATTAATTAGTAAACAAGATACACGAAACGAACTTAATAAAACTCATCAAAAAAGAAAAAAAATACATTAGGCCAAGCTAATATAAACTTTAGAGAGGTATAGCTATTTTAAAAAAGTGGATCATTCCGACATTCAGACACCAACTAAATCCAACATGACATAATCATAAGGAGAGTTATTACGTCACACTTGTAATATAGTGAATTTGAGAAGTTAGAGAAAGACGTTCTTTCGATTAGTGACTTAACGAGAAAATATCAACAGAAATCTTTTACTCATTGAATCAATAAAATCTCTAATAGATGCATGAGATTTAATCGAGCTAAAATAAGCATAACTCTCCACCTCAGAACAATCTAATGTAGTATTGTATGAAGAAGAAATGGTAAGAGTAGTAGTAGGATGCTCAATATGTTGCATATGCCTGCCCAAAGCATAGCCATAGGTCAATCAAAGAACCCAAATTCCAAAATGGGAGGACATAAGGGGTGCTACTATTCAATAAACCATCAACAAAAGTGTTAGACCGGTCCAGGCGGGATCGGCTCAGGCACGAACAGGGCGGAAGTTTCTTCCGCCCGCTGGGATGCCGAGCAAGCCGCACGGCGTGCGCGAGCCAAATAGGAAAGAAATTTTGGGGAGTTAAGAGGGAAATTTGAATGTAGGGACTGTTTAGGGAATTCCTTTTGATTTGTATGCATTAAATAGTTGTTTTTTCTAGGGTTTGAGTATCTTGAATTTGGCTGAAATTTGAGATCTCTTAGATTTAGGATTTCTTTGGGCTCTAGCGGCGTCTAGAGATTTGGGAGAGATCGATCCTCCTCTCGAATTGAGGATCAATTGTATCTTTGCTATTTTCCTTGCAACTACTAGTAAAATACAAGTCTTTTCTCTGATTTTTCCGCAGTTTTTCTCTGCTTTCCTACTGTTTTTGGCTGTTTTTCTGCTGTGGACAGCAGTTTTACATTGGATCTACTTGGTTTTGGTGAGAAACACTTGGAAATCCAAGTGTTTCCTATCAAAAAGGTTCGGATTTTTTTATGTAGTAGACTTGGAGATGAGGGAAAACAATCCAAACAAAGGTAATAGATAGTTCTTTAGAAGTATCAAAGACAAAAAATACCACCTCAATATATATAAGCATCTATCAACCATTCACATAATATGAACACAAAGAAAAAAGTACAATAATCCGCATCCAACTAATCTGATGAGCATGTGATGCTTATCAAAAAGATCAAAAAAATAATCATTTGCTAGATTTAGATCATACATAAAATATCAAAAAATCACCAAGCTCTGGTGATCGAATGAAAATGGAGCTGCATGTTAAAAATTTGTGCCTCTATAAAATGAGAGTAAGTTTACAAAGATGGGTAGTGGTTGGCTTGTGATATGTAGAATCTGTTTCATGATGAAACAATAATAAGAAGCTAGGCAGCAGGAATGGCATAGGGGTCCTTCTACCAACATTATTAGTGAAAAAGAAGGGGCAAAAAGCCTTGGAAAATGAAAACTAGCATCTGAAGAGACATCACATCACGAATCAAAAAGATCTCTTCCAACCAATACACCATCCAAAGATGCCTGGCAGGTAGGGACAAGGATGAAGCATTGGGAATACCCGGCGAAGCCATAGGTGCAAGAGTCATTGGCAACCCTTTAGTAAGCAATGGCACAAGAAGAGAAACAACCGAATAAAGTTCCAATTCAGGGAAGGAAGACAGAAATTTAGTTGCATATTTTGATGCAGACTATGCTAGTTGTAAAGTTGCTAAAAAAAGTACATCGGAACCTGTCAATTTTTAGGATCATCACTTATTATTTGGTATTCTAGAAAACAAAATTTGTTTCTTTAGTCACTGCTGAAGTAGAGTATATAGCTGTAGATAGTTGTGTTGGTTAAGTTTAATGGCTAGAAATAATTTGAAGATTTTCGAATTAATCTTAAAACTATTTCCATTAAATGTATAACACAAGTGTTATTAATTTAACAAAAAATCCTATATAATCACGGACTAAACACAGAGATTAGACATCATGTTAACAAAGGTAATGTGGATATAAATTTTGTAAACATGGATTCTCAAATAGCTGAAATTTTTTACAAAATCAATAGTTGAAGAGAGATTTTGCATCTTAAGGCGTATGCTTGGGATGCTATACACTAATATTTAAATTTTTGATATATTTATGTTATTCTTTTTGATGTTGTCAAAGGGGAAGAAGAATTATATGTTGGTCATAATTCTTTTTACATACATAAATTTAGGGGGAGAATTATTTTTTTTAGCAAATTAGCATTCAAAGAAATTTCTCAATTATAATATATATTTTTTTCTTTAATGTTTAAAAGTTATGATATAAGGTCAATTTGCATCTTTGTTATAATTATACCCAACATAAGTTTGTCATCATAAAAAATGAGAAGATTGTTAATATTATTTATCTCATGACCTATTTTAGAGATTTTGAAGATATCAAACATATGATTGAATGTTCTAATTTGTGTTCTAAGTATTTCAGATGTAATGATTTGATGGATATGCATGAAAATTACTTATATGAGATTTACATAGCACAACTCAAGTTCAATCAAAATTTGAGCTGAAAGAACTCAAGATGGACCAAGATGTATAGCTTGAAGATTTTTATATTAACGTAGAAATATTTTAAAGGTCCATTAATATTTACCTGCATGATTTGATATGCTCAAAATTTAAATATCTATTAAAATGATTTAAATATTATTAAGTGGCTTGATTTAAAAATTTATAAGATTTCTTTATTAAATAATTTTTTTATGCTTCATAAATTATATAAATGTTATCAAATATGGAAAGATAACTAATAAAGAAAATTAAATGTAATAATCTTATGTGGTAAAAGTTTAATTATATATTCATTTTGAATTGAACTTATTTTAAATAAATTTATTGATATGTATTTAATTTTATCTAAATTACAATGTATTATTATATGAATATTTAGTATATCTTTAAATACATTAAAATATGCATAAGTTTTTATTTTTCTTTATATGATATTATTTTGATGGAAACATAGCTTAATTTTTGTTCGATTAGATTTCTTGGATTCTGTAGATAGACATTGATAAGTTACATGACCTAATTTGGAAAAATTGAATTTATAATAAATTTTGAAATATTATTTGATTTTAAAATAAATGAATTCTTTATCAAATATATTATTATTAGTTGATAAATTAATATTATATTTTTAGTTTTATTCAAATTTGATTTTACTTACCATTTCCCTTTAGATACCCCTTTTTCTCTTCTTATGAGAGATGTTAACAAGAAAAACTCTAGCATTTTCTCCTGTCCTATTTCTTTGATCTTCATTCCAAAAACTCTTTTCACTTGCAAGATCAAATTTTTTATTGGAAAACTATGGGCTCCGAAAATTCGACCCCGGCCTCCGCCTGCTGCTGTTGTGCTTTTTCTTTTGGCGAGGGAGTTTTAACGCATTTAAGTTCCGGGGTAAATTTTGGAAGGCAGATGGGTTTGTAGATAAGACACTACTCAGAGATTTTGCCCTCATTTTGCGAGAACTTTATGATCTGAGTTCTGGTTTCCTATAGGCGCAAGCCCCTATAGTTAATTACCCTCTCGATCATGAGAGAGAACTTTTGATTAAGGCTAGTTGTCGATTAGATACGTAGAGATACGTAGGGTGTCAATATTTGACACGACACGAAAACCCAACCCGGACCCGACCCAGAAAATACGAGTTGGACCCGACCTGTTTGAAAAACGGGTAGGGTTCAGGTTCGCAGATTCAACCCGTTTGAAAAACGGGTGTGGTTCGGGTTGACCCGGCGGGTGTCGAACCCGCGTGCCGAACCCGCTATCGTCGCGCTCCCGCTGCCGAACCGTGTGTCGCGCTCGCTGCCGAACCCTCGCACCGTCGCCCGCTGTCAGGTCGCGGGTAGGGTCAGGTCAACCCGACAACCTGGCCGGGTCGGGTCCGGGTTGAAATGTCTGACCCGTTTGCAAAAATGGGTCGGGTTCGGGTTGACCTGTTTAGATCCGGGTCAACTCGGGTTCGACCCGAACCCGACCCATCGACCCGAATTGACACCCCTAGAGATATGTGTTATCTGGCATATAGTAATAGCAATAGGTTTGAATTTGGGAATTGGGTTTGGATTTAGAAATTGGGTTATCTTTTAGAAATTTGGAAAGGTTTGATATTTAAAATTAGAAATTTCACCATCTTTCACTTAAAGCGGATGGTGGGGGAATGGATGATGGACCCGATCAAGATCCCATGGTTCCGTCATCCCGGGCCATCGTGGTCCCTGGTCTACTTAGTAAGAGGAGGAAGTCGACCTAACCTGACAGAAGGATCCTTGTCGGCAGTCATGGGTTGCTTCGTCTAAGGAGACCTTGTAGATCTGGGATGAATGTTTGTCTAAGGAGATAAATTTGAATCCACTTTAGCTAACATACAGCTTTGTGCCCTATTGATCATATCCTATTGATTCATATCTCAAGGATTTGATGTCATTAAGGAGCGTATTGGCTCTGGCCATAACCGGTATTTCGTGGTGCCATTTGGTGGCGAAACCACTCGGTTCAGAGGGCCCCGGGTGATAATCGTTTATCATGCGATGCCATTTGGCAACAAAACTCGCCGGTTAGAGGACACGTACCAAGTCCTTATTGCTAGGAGATTGTTTGAGAATGGATTCTAACGATATTTTCGACTAGGCATTTAGCTCTATGTTAGCTGAAGTTA